GTGGACCGCCAATCATCCAGATGGTGTGGATGGTATCGGGAGTTCTGCCGCGATGTGCGTTCGTGAATTTGGCGGCTGGGATTAATCCAAACAATTCCTCAGAGCACTCCCCATGGTAGATGCGAAAGAAAATGCAAAGGGATGCAACATCTCTTCGCAGTGCTAATGAATCGAGCCGATCGGAAAGGACTCGGTCATCGACGATTCGAGCCGCTCGGCGCTGGATGCGGTCAAGTGGAAGGAGCTGGCACTGGAGAGCCCCTGCCCAGAGATGGGAACAGTATTCCATATGAGGCCGAACCTGCGCTTGTAAAGTTGCAGGCGGTGTGCCGGCATAAAATACTGTCCCGCTCTGCTGAGCACGCCAAGCTTTTTAGAGGCCAATTTGGCCTTCTCTTCCAAGTGACCACGAAACTGCACGTCACTCGATATGTCGACTCCGAGGATACCGATACTGCCTGAGGCAAGAAGGGGAGTGCCTTGAAACTGAGGAGATACGACAAAGGGGTTCTTTTTAGCGGTAAACGCGCAAAGTTGTGTCTTCTGAGGATTAAACTGGACTAGATTTAGTCGCCCCCAATCCGAGACTTTGTTCAGCAAAGACTCGACTTCAGACACATGTTTGTTCCGGTACTCGGCGACGTTTTCCCGAGAAATATTGGCACGGCCGGTGTATAGAGCATTACCAGTGCTGTCATCCGCATAGCAATGAATGTTACCAGTTAGCAACATATCATTGATATGCAGAAGAAACAGCGTTGGTGATAGCACACAGCCTTGTGGAACACCAGCGTTAATAGGCTTGTAGTCAGAACATGCACCGTCTACAACGACCTTGATGCTCCGATCTGCAAGGAAGCTGGTAATCAATTGCACAATTTCTCGGGAAGCCCATAGGAAGGGCCCATAGGAAGCTTCGAAAGAAGCGCTTTGTGCCAAACCCGATCGAAGGCCTTCGCAATGTCCAGACTAACGGCCAAAGCCTCCCCCTTGGACTCTACTGCCTCCGCCCATCTATGGGTCAGGTAGACCAGAAGATCACCAGCTGATCGACCCCGACGAAAACCGTATTGACGGTCATTAATCAGCTGGTGATCCTCAAGGTACCGGATGAGCTGGCAGTTAATAATTGATTCCATTATTTTGGAGAACAAGGAGGTGATCGCGATAGGCCTATAGTTGGACGGGTCTGAGCGGTCGCCTTTTTTAGGGATCGGGTGGACAAAAGCTGTCTTCCATGAATTCGGGACTACGCCTTGGGAGTAGGAGTACCGGAAAAGACGCGTTAGGACCGGTGCCAACTCCGGAGCACACGTCCTCAGCACAATTGGGGGGGATTCCGTCAGGCCCACTTGACTTCTGGATGTCCAGGGAGAGAAGTGCTTTGCGAACCGAGCGCTATGAGAATAGCACATCCGGCATGGAGCACTCACACCGCGGGATGGTCGGCGGTGTTTTCCCCCCGTCATCAAGAGTCGAGTTGGACGCAAAAAGGGAGCCTAAAAGGTCAGCTTTGTCTTTTGCGTCTTGGGCCAGTGAGTCGTCCTCCCTGTGCAGAGATGGTAGTGATGGCTTACAGAAATTCCCTTGGACAGCCTTGACGAGAGACCAGAATGCACGGGTTCCCGAAGGAAGGCGAACTAGTTTCTCGCCAATTCTGCCTATGTGCTCTGACTTTGCCTTGGCAATAACTCTCGAAGGACCTGGAGGCGAAGTTATACTTCTTTTTAAGTGTGCTGGTGTTTACATCCCGAGTCGCCGAAGCCGCAGCTCAGGCTTGATAACACTCCTGCTTACTGCGTAATGCAGTCTTACAGGAGCGACCACACCAAGGCTGAGATCTGCCTCCGATGTGTACCACAGATGATGGAATAAATAGTTCCATTCCCTGTAGCACCACATCAGTGACAGAGTCAACAACAGCGCTGGGATCATCCGGCAAGAAGCAAACCCGCCCCCATGGGCAAGATGCAAAGAAAGACCGCATTCCGTCCCAATCCGCCGAACTGTAATGCCAAACACGGCGGCAACCTGCAGAACATCTGGAATCCGCGTAGGCGAAGTAACCAGTTGTGTCAGACCATATGCCAAAGCAAAGTCATAAACAGATCTCCTCGCATGATCGGTTAAACCTGAACCGAGCCATTCAGCATGGTGGGCGTTAAAATCGCCAAGGATCACTATCTCTGCGGATGGGACCTGTTGTAGCAAGGAATCTGTAGCCATTTGGACGTGGTCGATGAGTCGGTCTGTTTCGGCATTACCGCTATGGGACCTATAGAGGCACCCGTAGATGCGCGGATGGTCGTCGCTGTTTACGCGTAGCTAAAGGACGGACAGGTCCAAACCTTCAAGACTGCCGAGGCGTCGAGAACAGATGTCCTCTCTGACATACACGCAAACTCTAGCCCGAGGCACAAAGAAGTGCTCCAATTTGTACCCCGGGCAGGAGAGATACGAAATATCAGCCGGAGAGGAAACCTGCGTCTCGGTCAGAAAGAGCAAGGACGGCGAACGTCTCGAGATGGTAGTGGACGGCGTTTAGGTTAGAGTGAAGTCCCCTGATGTTGCAGAAATTCACAGATAGCGTGGCAGGGGTCGCCTTGGTATTGTTGCTCAGTTTGCCCCGAGCAGTTATGTTTTTGAGCGGAATTTAGCCCCCGCCCCCAGAATACGGTGGTAAGGTGTCTGTCTGGTGTGCCGTGTGATACCATCGCCAAACTATCAGCTGTCTGAAGTTGCCGTCAAAATCTCCCAAGGGCTGCACAATGTGATGCATCAACGTATTGTAAAACAGTGTACTATGAAGGATAATAATTATACATAGTAACTTCAGGCTCAAAAGAGCTAGAACCCAGAGCCGTAAAGCCAGTCAGTAAAAAAAATTACTTCACCTTCTTGAAATCAGTCAAATATTTCACCTCATTCCTAAGTGGCACCGCCCTGGTGGCGGAAATAGTTGTGTAATTACCCCGCAGGACTAAAAAAGCAGAGCCAGTCATAAGGACTGCCGATAGGAGTGAAAAGTCAGTGATATATGCGTATACATGTCCACAGGCCGCTATACTACGCGTCGCTAGACATGCTTGTGATGTATATTGTACTTGCGCGCGACGTCTATGAATACGTCACGAGCATGTCGAGGTCATCGGTGACGCGAACCCATAAGTTTTTACCCTACAAAAAACATAAATGACACATTATTTTAGATTATGTTTACATTTGCCGTTACTGTCTACCACTAGTGATGGTGTGATTTTTAAGATGGGCAGTAAACGCAATACTATCAAATCTTTTTAACATAGAACTGATGCATTCCGGATTACTGTGTTCCTGTTTCCCCCAATTTCCCCTACCGTGGAGCGATGGCCGTATGATGTCCCCTTTTACTTCCCCGTCCATACTAATGTTTTCTTTATGTCGTCCCTCCATGTAATGGTAGGGAGGAGGTTTTGCTCTTTATAATGGGATTTTAAGATACTTCTTTACGAAGAGTAAGGAATGTTAAAATAAAACACGGTACTTATTTGTAATTATTATATGTATAGATGTTTACTCTTAACTAATATCACCAATGATATTATAGAAAATTACAAGAACCTTATAAGTAAGTTTTACTAATATAGTAACGCGGGAAAACGATTTACAAAAGTGACATTTAAGATTTTCAATTTACATACAGATTTTAATATTCTTATATTAATAATCACCACTTTAAATGTCGGTCATGGTTAATGCGCGAGAATGTGAACCATTATTATTGTGAGGTATCCTCACGCAATTAAATTACTTAACATTTAATTTATTCACACCAATGTACTCAACAAATGTTACAGATGCGTGATTTCTTAGAACCAAACCGACATAAGTATCTTATAGTTTATAGTTAAGCAAGAGGTAGTGTTTTCACTACAGTAACAATTTCCGTTAACATTTTGGTTTGGTTAACATGAGCGAGGGTGAGGGGGTAGTTATTGTTTATATAAGAAGTAGAGAAGTCCAAATCAATTAGACTGTCGGTAACCTTGACGACATGACATCAAAATGATAATCATTTTTAGTACATTGCGTTGTATGTTTTATGAACTGTGGTAGTTTGTATAGACAAGCTTTAGCATACGACGTATTGTACTACAAAGTGACTATAGTTGTAAGAAATATGGAAGAAATTACGATCTTCAGCAATAAGGGACCTATTGTAGAGATAGAGATGGAGGGGAAGGGTTTATGGGTAAATCATATCCCTTGTATATTTAGTTTATAATTTAATAATAGAATCAAACATTCATGTGGGGTTTGGTGCGAGTGTGGGATGTGGGGTGTAGGTGTTGTTTGTGGATGTGTGTCAGCGTGCTAAGTGCGTAATTTTTATATCATCAGTATCAATATTTTCAGAAGATACGCCAAAAAATAAGCAATTACCAATGTGGAATTGAAAGACGTAACGTAAATTTTGATAGATGTTGTGAGTTGATTTGACCGCATCGAGTCTGTGTCTACTCAATAAATTATCAAGCCATGAAATGATATTACATATTTATTTAAATAGTTGTAATTAGATTTTAAGGTAATTAAATTTTAATGTAGTAAATGTCCATAAAATGTAGTGTTGCTTAAATTAGTTCCATGTGCTAAAACCATGAAATCAGCATAGCTGCAATGGGAGCATTTCATTTTCTTTTTTAGTCCACCTTAAAAGTATAGGTTATCATTTTAACTATATGTTCTTTTTTATGTATCTTACACAATGTTAATACATAATACAGTGTTTAAGGATATATTCATGTGAGTGTCGGGTGTAGTGTGTGGGCCACACAGTCCACAAGATGGTGTAGGGTGTGTGGGGTGCGTGTGTGCGTCAGCGAGCGAGGCGCGTGCGTGCGCGCGTGCCCCGCCATCAGCTGAGCAGCGGCGCCAGCGCGCGGTGAGGTGTGGGTGTGCGGGTGTGCGGTGTGTGTGCGTCAGCGTGCGAGGCGCGTGCGTGCGCGCGTGCCCCGCCATCAGCTGAGCAGCGGCGCCAGCGCGCTCGCGGCCAGCGCGCCCAGCGGCCCGCGCGCGCACGCCACGGACCCCGCGCCCGCCCCCGGCCCCAGCCCCGCGCCCGCGCCCGCGCTCAGCTCGTGGTACAGCACGTACGCGGCGAGAGCGGCGCGCCACTCCGCACCCACCCGCCTCCCACCGCTCAACCCCAAGTACCTGATAAACAAAACAACATAAACACTTATTCACACAAAAACGGATTTTAAAATGAAAACTTCTTTAAATTCGTTGTGATTTATAACTCGATGAAACAAAGCGACAATAAACAGATATAGACATATATATCTATAGGATTTAAGCCTGCGAGAGAATGAAATAGAATACAATATACATTGTTTCCTATTATGCATGGAGAGTATGCATGTGATCTATGAGCAGTAAGTATTAAGAACAAAATTTGTTGATTAGAATTTAAATTCTTACGATAATGAAATTGAAAATTAGTTTGTAAAATAAAAAAATAAAACATTTGAATAAATAAAATTAACCATGCAATAATTAAAGTGCACGTATCATATTCAATACATTCATTCATAACATTCCACGATTTCATGCCTTACTGATTTGTATTGAATTAGTTTCTATTTTTTATATGTAATTATTGTATATATATATATATATATATATATATATATATATATATATATATATATAAATATAAATATCATCTGTTAGCTACGTTAATTTCAAATTATATGTACATTATCTATGTACATTAGCACTACTTTTTAACGCATACTTATTAATTAGTCGTACTTATTTTAAAATATAACTGTAAGTCGTAAAAAGTCGTGATTAAAAAATCAAACACCAACTTGTCCGACTAGACTCCAACTGAAAACTAGAGCTGTCTTTACAGCATTCACCAAGTTGGAAACATATTTGATGTCACATTTAGATATTTTTTTTAATAATAATTCTTAAATATTAGTTTTATTAATAATTAAGGATGAGATTTGTCATAAATATTATTGTACAGATTTGTTTCTTCAGCGAGGCCAACAATGTATACGGGGTGGCGATAAAGTTATCACATTAAATGAAAATACTTATCCTATATACGTTATATATATATAACGTTCTTTGAACATACACAACTAAAAAAATATATAACAATTAACATTCTAGTCGCAATAGCTATTTTTTTCGTTTTTTGCCTACTTACTTATGAACGGAAAAGTATAGGTAAATAATTACCTATGTCGTTGCCGCGTGCGCACTGCGTACCTGCCGCACCTTTTCCGCTTTTACATGTCACTTCTGGTCAGTAAACTAATATTATCAAGGTGATTTATTTCGTGTCAATTTTTACGCTATTTATTTTGTTTGAAAAAATGCATTTTTTATTTTTCGTAGAATTGTTTATTTTATTATTTTAATCGACATATATGAACTTGTATATACCGCTGTGTTATTTAATGTGATAACCTAATCGCCTTCCAGCATAATGTGTGAAGCTAAACGGAAAGCTTCATCAGCCCATGTAAGAAATAGATCCGTATAAGAAGTGTTTGATATATCGTCCTTTTTCTTTTAAATTTTTAATGCGTAAGCAGTCTTAGACTGGTGCATGGTATGTGAACTGTCTCCTCTGTACAGGAGAAAATCTTAGTACGAGCGAAACGTTTTTTCTAATACCGTTACCGTTACAACTTATTAAAGTCAAACGCTGAACATAGGTGTCCCCTCTAGATTGGATAAGGGGGATATTTGCTATAGTTGCCATGGTTGGGAAGCGGGTCGGGCATTCTAATTTTTTATAGTCGTTATTAGAAAGACGCTGCTACCCATCTATCTTATTTCCCTTTGTCGCCTATTACGATACCCGCGGGACGATATGGGGTAGCAGTAGCGAAGCCTCTATAGAAGCCGAGAAGTCGGGCTTGCCCTATTAAACTGGTCAATCAATAATATCAACTAATAAAATAACTCGGAAACTGTATCAAAATATTTTAAATTTCCCGCGCGCTCCTCTGTTCTACAAATCTCATGACCTCGTAGCCTCATAATGTAACGTCAACACTTGGCAGATTGCTTTACTGCGCGATATTGCTGTCATAAAAAATGAGTTGAGTTGAGCGATTAGTCGTCTCTCTCGCACGCATGGGCTTTTTACCGGGCTTTCGAGAAGACGATCGCTCGGTTTCTAACTAGTGGCAAAATGTTCTATAATGAAATATAACTATAATTGTTTATATAGCAATTAGTATGGAGCCAAAAGCCCAGCCTTTGGTGTGAAGTTAGTCGAGCGTGGGGGCGCCCGGGCGATACGTTTGCAACTTCACATTTCAATGTTTACTCTTTGTGTTTACTTGAGCGAATGAATATTGCGAGTTGAAAATTTATGATTTTTTAAAGATTTTTAGTGGAAATGGAGGATAAGGTAAAATCTTTAAAGTTTGTTGAGAAAAAACAGCTCATATCCACATAAACAGTTATTGGTACAATTAAAACGTTCACCAACATTTTACGTAAACGTAATCAAATCTTTCTTTAAGAAAGGGAGATTATTGGAATTAGAATATAAATATATTTTTTTAAATTTTGTACATAGTTTGTTTTACTTTGTTCATGCTTTTCTTTTGTTCGTATATTGTATTGTATTTAAATATCTTTTTCTTTCATTCAAGCAAACCCAAACGGCTTTCAAAGCCACCAAAGGTATGCATATACTCATATAATCTATCCAGCAGTAGTTTTCCTTCTGTGTGCTTTGTTAAACACGTCCTCGACAGCAGTGAATATGAGAGTGAAGAGTGGAGATAGATCAAGATTGGTGTATTTTTATAAAAGGGCTAAAAACAACAAAACCATATCTTGGGCTTGCCCTAGTTTGGAGCCCTAGCTTCACCACTGTGGGGTAGTGGATATTCGTACACCGGCACTAGTAGGCTTACCGGCGCAGCTGGGCGGCCAGGCGTGGCTCCCAGGAGTCCAGCACGGCGCACACGCGCTGCTGCACGGCCAGCGCGAACTCTGCGGAGATGAGCGGCTCGGCGGCCGCGTCCTGCCCGTCCACGCACATCTCGGCCGCCGCGCCGCGCGCCTGCCGCGCCACCTGCGACACCACCAGCTTCACCTGCCACACCTGGTACGATGTCGGCTCGCTCTTCATCGCCTTTATCATCTGCAGACCAAATATTATTTCAATATCACCGGAGTTCTGGCGAGAACTTGACCGACGACGGATTGCTGCTTTTGTGCGATTGTTTAAATAATGGTTTGAATTAGATTTTGATATGTAAACGAGGTGTGATTTTGTTATTAAATGTCTCCGCATGTCAACTATTAATGAAAACGATGAAACAAGTACTCCACTCCGATGGTGATGTGAATCTCAAGATACGGTGTCTGTCTGCTTAGGCGCAGCCAACTGTCCACTGTCGAAATCTAACTACACAATGTGACGCATCAACATAATGTGAAGCAGTGTACTATAAAGAAAGATACTTAATATATGATAAATGAAAACATGGCTTAAAGGACAAGGATCCAAGCCTAATATAAAATACTTAAAAAAATAAACAACGTAATTTACCTTGTGTTAAGTGATACAGTAACACGCACACATTTTTTAAAAATATTATACGGGTAACAAACGAGCACACAGTCCATACGATGGTAAGTGGATACTGTAACCCACATACACCTACATTTATACTCGATTAAATATTAAAATGAAGATGTCTTGTCACCCTTGAAGACAAAAATGAAATACCTTATTACCAGTAACAACCTTAATTAAATAAAAATATACTTAAAAACAAACTTTTACATGTGTCACTAAGGCTACCATCAGAAATTATATCTAGATCAGCCAAAGCAAAAGTTACATAAGTTTACTATATTTGAACTTAATCGTATGTCAGCAAGTGCTTTACAAATTAATTACAACCAAATTTTAAACCGGAAAGACATATGAAGAAAGCAAATTAAATAAAAGTTCCACACCAATCTGGCGATTTTTTTTTATAAAATAGGGTGACAAACGAGCACACAGTCTACCTAATGGTATCACACCATACCTATCCTCAATAAAGAATCAAAATACAGATGCGTTGTCACCCATGAGGACCAAAATGGAATGCCTCTTTTCCAGTAAAAAGGGCCTTCGGTTCTCTACACTCACCATACGAAACACAGCAGTGTTAAGCTGTTATTTTACGCTGGTAATCTGTGAGAGCGTGGTCCTTCTCCGGTCGAGCCGACCCATTCGTGCTACAACTATATTACTAATATAGCTGCAGCATAGCTCTACCACGTCTTTGATTTACCGTGTGATGTAAACAAAATGGTAATACCGCCATGTATCGGAAGCCATGAGGTCTTTCTATTTCCGTCATATACCATATTCGCTTTTAAAAACACTACAGGAATGAAATAGGATGATGGATTCCCTTACGTGGACACCACACTACATAGCACATTTACATTCCAACAGTGGACTTAAAAGTTCTTGTGATTACTTTTTAAATTCACACGTACCTTCAAAAATGTGGTCCAAATGGGCAAAGCACACAAGATGTCTTTCACAAGACATTCGTAAGTGACCATACTAAGTGCCTGCACGTGTTCCTCTTCCTCCTTGCTGTACTTCCGACACTGGCACTGCTTCACAAGACCCTCCGCCTTGCCTCTTTTCTTGCTCACCAGCAAACAATTGGCGCAAATTTTCGAACTGCTTGTTTCGCTCGTGAGGTAATGCTTGACGAAGCTCCGCACTTTGTCGTCGTTTGTGAATAGTTCGATGTTCTCCGGTGTCGCCAGCCAAATGTTGGTCTTGTCCAGGGTGAGGGTCTGGGCCAGTATAGTGAGGAATCCTTGCGGGTCGGAGACATAAGAGAGACAACCCGCCCGTTGTTTTATATCTATACACCACGTATATTCAAGGAATGTTCTGAAAGAGGAATAGTTTCATTAATTAAGTCAAATAGTTTTCAAAATTAAGTCAATCTACAGATTTTTGAAGTTATATAATTTCCAGAAAACATTGCGGTTTCGCCAAAACCTGGTAGACCATTAGATAGACCGAGGTCGCTGAATTAAGCTCATCATTAAGGAAATAATACTAATAAACAATAACACGTAACTTACTTTAACTGGTCCCAATTTTGGTCCCTCTGGAACACGATAGGCCAATACCTGGGATCGTTTATTTTCACCTCCTTCAATGTATCTAGTTCTGGTATTATGCACGGCGCCTTCATCTCTTTAACAACGCCTTGTAGATCTACCACCTAAAATTTTAAAACAGATCGTTTAAGAAAATATAGGATCTGTTCACACCCAGCAGAGACGTCGGACCGTTTGTCTACAACGGACCGTCTTACCGTAAGCACGCGACACACGGCTTCTTACTATTTTGTATTTCATTATTCAGTATACTTCCTCATTAACCCTTCACACCTAGCATAAATAAAAATGATATAACAATATTTAGAATATCACACTAATACGTTCTGGGCGATCCCTCCTGACCGCCGTTCAGGTGGTGTAAGTCACCGCTCCTGCACGAGGGCGTTTAAATTAGCTATCTGGAGGGTCGATGTTACGTTGTTGTGTGTTTCGACACGATTGCTATGGCCCTTGTTATGGGACGGAGCGGTTAAACTTAATAAAATGTTTAGTTCTTAATTTATTAATACTGAGCGGCGTACTGAAATGAACCAGCACACAGCATAGCTGATGGTTAGCAAATGCTGTTGTCCAGAGACACGTACATCTGTTCCTCGATTAACAATCAAAATGGAGATGCATTGTCAACCCTGAGGACTAAGATGCAAACACCTGCATTAAGCTGCTATTTTACGCTGGTATTCTGTGCGAGTGTGGCTTTTCCCCGATCGAGTCGATCCATATGTGTCAAGATATTGTTGCGGCGTGGGTCTATCACATTCCTACCATTAATATTTCTTTAAAATTATAATGAAACATTTACACCATGTATTTCGCACTCGTGTGGCAATAGTGGGTGAAGTTTATACGTGGTAGAGCCATGCTGCATATATATTAGTAATATAGTTGTAGCACGAATGGGTCGGCTCGACCGGGGAAGGACCACGCTCTAACAGAATACCAGCGTAAAATAGCAGCTTAACACTGCTGTGTTTCGTATGGTGAGTGTAGAGAACCGGAGACCCTTTTTACTGGAAAAGAGGCATTCTATCTTAGTACTCACGGGTGACAACGCATCTGCATTTTGGTTCGCAAACGTGTATAAATGTAGATGTCTATGGGCCACAGCAACCACTTACCATCAGGTGGACTGTGTGCTCGTTTGTCACCCTCAGGATAGGGTGACAAATGAGCACACAGTCCACTTTTCACTTTTTTTATAGGAATAAAAAAAGTGTAAATTCACCTGTATATGAGCGTAGCACAATTTCCCAGTGTCCAAGTCGCGAGGCAGTATGAGTCTCGGCTCGACTGCCAGCACGTAGAGATGCCTGAATGCTTGTAAATGATATCTGGAATAACCATATTATAATATATGTATAATAAGGAGAATTATAACAATTGATAAACAATGAAAATAAAAAGTTATTAAAATTTAAATATAGATACAATATACAATTAAAACACAAATGTAACAATAGGCAATAATATAAAGTACCCCCAATTCTATGAATTTTTTAAAGTACGATCAGCAAAAAAAACATGAAAATTCAGAAAAACAGATGTATGAAAAGACAAATATTGAAAAAATACATCAACCTTTTATATTTAACCAGAAACACAGCTCAAACATTATTCAGATATGCGAGAACATAGCTAGTGAAACGAGACACGCTTAGTTTCGTCTCACTGGCCTTGCCTTGTCATACATCATATTATTATCATTACAGAAGAATAGATAACAGGTTAATATACATATATATATGCAATGTTATAGTATTAAGCTATTTTATAACGATTTACAGATTAGGTGGAAACTCATCATCATCATTACAGCCTTTCATAAGTCCACTGCTGAACATAGGCCTCCCCCAAGGAATGCCACAAAGCACGGTCCTGAGCCACCTGCATCCATCGACTTCCTGCATGCCTTACCAGGTCGTCATTCCATCTCGTGGGGGGACGCCCTACACTTCACCTACCGGTACGAGGCTGCCACTCGACAACCTTTCTTCCCCGTCGGTTGTCGGTTCTTCGAGCTATATGGCCGGGCCACTGCCACTTCAGCTTACTAATCCGTTGGGCTATGTCGGTTACTCTAGTTCTACTGCGGATATCCTCATTTCGAAGTTTATCACGCAGAGAAACTCCGAGCATAGCCCTCTCCATAGCTCGCTGAGCGACCTTGAGCTTCCTCATACGGCCAGCTGTGGAAACTATTAACCATTAATGCCTATTATCTTAGTACCTATTATCTTCACTGTGCGTTGGAAATTTCGGGAAGAAAGCTATTAGTAAGGCCGCCACAGCTGTCTTCGAAGTACTGAGGGTACCCCGACCTCCTGCCAGGAAGAGTAGCCCGATAGTGCAGTGTACTGCCATCTGAAAACATTATATATTGAGCTGAAGATAAAGAATGTTAAATTTAAATAAAGAATGCTTAAAAGATGCTTAAATACATTTAATCTTTATTCTTTATTTCTTTAAAAAAACACTTTTTTTTTTACCCACGGTACAATGTATAATATGACTACAGGTCAACAACAAAAACAATTGGTAAGTCTAAAATATTGAAAATGTCAATATAAGGTATCTACAGATAATAGTGTAAGTATTTATATTGCATTTTGAAATAAATAAAGTTTGAATTAGAATACAACGCTAGAAATTTAAAGGTATTTTATTGTGATAGCATGATGCCGTAAAATCTACCAATCCATTTCGTCTAGTAGGTAGCCTATACTCGTATACGTCCCATAGCTGGGGACAGGCCTCCTCTCATTACTGAGAGGGTTTTAGGGCAAAGAAATGTATATCGCACTGTCTCGATGCATAGTAGTTAACTTTCGTGTATTCGATTTTTTTTTAATTTTTCAGATATGCATGTTTCCTGATGGTGTTTTTTTTTTCACCGTCGAACACGTGGTAAATCGGCACTAAAAATTGCAAATTATATTCTAATTGGTGCCGGTGGACATAGAACCTGGGTTGCTTGCATACTGTGAAATTTACAGCGAACGCTTTGCCCCTGAGCTACCATAGTTACACTATAGAATGTTCCAAATAGTGACGTCCAAAAGAAAAATTTAAGTTCGTTACATCTATGGGTATCCGAAATACCCAATGTATGTTATCCGATTTTTGGTACTTTTCGAGTATAACTTTTTTTTTTGTATTTTTTTAGTATTTTCTGCCGGTGGGGCTTCAAATATTCATATCTTTTGTTGTAGTAGTTATTTTTCAGATTTTTCTTTTGACGTAATTGTCTTAAATGATACTTTTACACATAAAATAATAAATTTCCTAACATTCCTGCAAGTTACTCAAAAAAGTATCGAAAGTAAGAATTTTGGTTTTTAGTGGGGTAGACTTAAATTTTCAACTTCAATTTAAAAATACAAAAAGGAGTTTCCAAAGGTTCTAACTGACTAAAAACTTTGCAAGTCTTTAATCTATTTAAAACATTAAAAAAAATGGTACTTAATGGGCTATTATTCGCTGTAATCGGTCTTCGAAGGTGGATAGGCTAAAAATCCACAAAAAAAAAATAGTTTTAAAAAATTATTTTGCCTATTTTTGTCATTCTTATGTAAATTTAAGTAATAAAATGTAAAAAATAAAGGGTGGAAAACCCGTTTAACAATGCTAAAATTATGAAATATTGTGTTGTACGTGTCTTGCTCGTGTTATTTTCATCATCAACATCATTACAGCCTTTCATAAGTCCACTGCTTAACATAGGCATCCTCCAAGGAATGCCACAAAGCACGGTCCTGAGCCACCTGCATCCATTGACTTCCTGCATGTTTTACCAGGTCGTGACTCTTCGAGAACCTTTCTTCCCCCATCGGTTGTCGGTTCTTCGAGCTTTATGGCCGGCCCACTGCCACTTCAGCTTACTAATCCGCTGAGCTATGTCGGTTACTCTGGTTCTACTGCGGATATCCTCATTTCTAAGTTTATCACGCAGATAAACCCCAAGCATAGCCCTCTCCATAGCTCGCTTGGCGACCTTGAGCTTCCTCATACGGCCAGCAGTGAAGGACTACATCTCAGATCCGTAAGTCATCACTAGTAACACGCACTGGTTATTACTGGTTATTTTACTCGCCTTTAAAATAACAGCCTGATGGCTGGACGTGTCCCCAGTTGCAATAATTTTGCGAATCAGTACCCCGGAATCCGGATCAAGTTGACAAAGTTGTGGAAAAAGTCCAAAGAGACCAGTCTACAAGTTCAAGAATAGTCACACGAACTGGAGTTCCACGAACTTAGGTTCTAAAAATTCTTTATAAAGGTGAGCCTTAAAATATGCTGTAATACCAGTTTTAAGATTTTAACTTTTGATAATTATGAGTTTTTTTTAATTTTGCATAGGGTTACCATGCGTACCTACCTTATTTTTTGTGAAACCATGTTACAGATATCTGAAGAAGCCCCTGATTTCTTCAAAGAAATATTTCGGACAGACGAGTCCAAATTCGAAAGTACTGGAATTTCTAATATCCTCAATTACTATAGCGGGGCCATAAAACCCACGTCTGGCAAGGACGTCGAACTTCCAACACCACTTTAGCGTTAACTTGTGGTCTGGGGATCCTAAATGGAGAATTTAGCGGTCCCTTTGAATTACCGTCCAGGTTAGATGGACGGACTTTTAATTTTTTTACAAAATCACTTTTATGAATTGTTGGAAGACGTGAACGTTGCAGTACGACAACAAATGATTTTTCAAAATGACGGCGCTTTTTGCCACTATGCAAGACAAGTAAGGCACGAAACTATTCGACAGAACCGATCGAATGGCCTGCACATTCGACAGACCTAAACCCTATCAACTTTTATTTGGGGATTTTACAAGGAGCTGATGTACGCGCGGGAAGTAGATAATGAAGAAAACTTGGGAGAAAATCTGGAAATAGTTGCAAGAAAAATTAAAAAAAAAACTCATTCACGTTCCTGCAGACAGTAAAACATAACTTTTTAAAACGCTGTCGTCATTGTATTTAAATAGGAGGGCGTCCTTTTGAAAATTTGCTTTAATAAAGAATTAAAATGATTAATTTTTGACAATTTTTTTTATTATCATACAATAATAAGCTCAAATGACGTACTGAATAAATTACACCTTATTTCTTTAAATTTTTACAAAATATCATCTTATTATTATCTTTATCGGTCAATTTGTGTACATTTGAATGCAATCGAGAATTTTCCACTACTTGCCGTAGGGATGGCAAAAATAGGCAAAATATTTTTTAAAGCTTAAAAAATTTTGTGAATTTTTAGTTTCGGAGGCCGATTACAACGTATAATTGCGCGTTAAGTACGGTGTGCGGGCGGCGCGGGGTGCGCGTGTGCCAGTGTGTCGCGAGTGTTACCTGAGCGCCGTGCGAGAGTGCGGGCGGCGCGGGGTGCGCGTGCGCGGGGCGTGCGGGGCGCGCGGGGTGCGCGTGTGCCAGTGTGTCGCGAGTGTTACCTGAGCGCCGTGCGAGAGTGCGGGCGGCGCGGGGTGCGCGTGTGCCAGTGTGTCGCGAGTGTTACCTGAGCGCCGTGCGAGAGTGCGGGCGGCGCGGGGTGCGCGTGTGCCAGTGTGTCGCGAGTGTTACCTGAGCGCCGTGCGAGAGTGCGGGCGGCGCGGGGTGCGCGTGTGCCAGTGTGTCGCGAGTGTTACCTGAGCGCCGTGCGAGAGTGCGGGCGGCGCGGGGTGCGCGTGTGCCAGTGTGTCGCGAGTGTTACCTGAGCGCCGTGCGAGAGTGCGGGCGGCGCGGGGTGCGCGTGCGCGGGGCGTGCGGGGCGCGCGGGGTGCGCGTGTGCCAGTGTGTCGCGAGTGTTACCTGAGCGCCGTGCGAGAGTGCGGGCGGCGCGGGGTGCGCGTGTGCCAGTGTGTCGCGAGTGTTACCTGAGCGCCGTGCGAGAGTGCGGGCGGCGCGGGGTGCGCGTGTGCCAGTGTGTCGCGAGTGTTACCTGAGCGCCGTGCGAGAGTGCGGGCGGCGCGGGGTGCGCGTGTGCCAGTGTGTCGCGAGTGTTACCTGAGCGCCGTGCGAGAGTGCGGGCGGCGCGGGGTGCGCGTGTGCCAGTGTGTCGCGAGTGTTACCTGAGCGCCGTGCGAGAGTGCGGGCGGCGCGGGGTGCGCGTGCGCGGGGCGTGCGGGGCGCGCGGGGTGCGCGTGTGCCAGTGTGTCGCGAGTGTTACCTGAGCGCCGTGCGAGAGTGCGGGCGGCGCGGGGTGCGCGTGTGCCAGTGTGTCGCGAGTGTTACCTGAGCGCCGTGCGAGAGTGCGGGCGGCGCGGGGTGCGCGTGTGCCAGTGTGTCGCGAGTGTTACCTGAGCGCCGTGCGAGAGTGCGGGCGGCGCGGGGTGCGCGTGCGCGGGGCGTGCGGGGCGCGCGGGGTGCGCGTGTGCCAGTGTGTCGCGAGTGTTACCTGAGCGCCGTGCGAGAGTGCGGGCGGCGCGGGGTGCGCGTGTGCCAGTGTGTCGCGAGTGTTACCTGAGCGCCGTGCGAGAGTGCGGGCGGCGCGGGGTGCGCGTGCGCGGGGCGTGCGGGGCGCGCGGGGTGCGCGTGTGCCAGTGTGTCGCGAGTGTTACCTGAGCGCCGTGCGAGAGTGCGGGCGGCGCGGGGTGCGCGTGTGCCAGTGTGTCGCGAGTGTTACCTGAGCGCCGTGCGAGAGTGCGGGCGGCGCGGGGTGCGCGTGTGCCAGTGTGTCGCGAGTGTTACCTGAGCGCCGTGCGAGAGTGCGGGCGGCGCGGGGTGCGCGTGCGCGGGGCGTGCGGGGCGCGCGGGGTGCGCGTGTGCCAGTGTGTCGCGAGTGTTACCTGAGCGCCGTGCGAGAGTGCGGGCGGCGCGGGGTGCGCGTGTGCCAGTGTGTCGCGAGTGTTACCTGAGCGCCGTGCGAGAGTGCGGGCGGCGCGGGGTGCGCGTGTGCCAGTGTGTCGCGAGTGTTACCTGAGCGCCGTGCGAGAGTGCGGGCGGCGCGGGGTGCGCGTGCGCGGGGCGTGCGGGGCGCGCGGGGTGCGCGTGTGCCAGTGTGTCGCGAGTGTTACCTGAGCGCCGTGCGAGAGTGCGGGCGGCGCGGGGTGCGCGTGTGCCAGTGTGTCGCGAGTGTTACCTGAGCGCCGTGCGAGAGTGCGGCCGGCGCGGGGTGCGCGTGTGCCAGTGTGTCGCGAGTGTTACCTGAGCGCCGTGCGAGAGTGCGGGCGGCGCGGGGTGCGCGTGTGCCAGTGTGTCGCGAGTGTTACCTGAGCGCCGTGCGAGAGTGCGGGCGGCGCGGGGTGCGCGTGCGCGGGGCGTGCGGGGCGCGCGGGGTGCGCGTGTGCCAGTGTGTCGCGAGTGTTACCTGAGCGCCGTGCGAGAGTGCGGGCGGCGCGGGGTGCGCGTGTGCCAGTGTGTCGCGAGTGTTACCTGAGCGCCGTGCGAGAGTGCGGGCGGCGCGGGGTGCGCGTGCGCGGGGCGTGCGGGGCGCGCGGGGTGCGCGTGTGCCAGTGTGTCGCGAGTGTTACCTGAGCGCCGTGCGAGAGTGCGGGCGGCACGGGGTGCGCGTGTGCCAGTGTGTCGCGAGTGTTACCTGAGCGCCGTGCGAGAGTGCGGGCGGCGCGGGGTGCGCGTGCGCGGGGCGTGCGGGGCGCGCGGGGTGCGCGTGTGCCAGTGTGTCGCGAGTGTTACCTGAGCGCCGTGCGAGAGTGCGGGCGGCGCGGGGTGCGCGTGTGCCAGTGTGTCGCGAGTGTTACCTGAGCGCCGTGCGAGAGTGCGGGCGGCGCGGGGTGCGCGTGCGCGGGGCGTGCGGGGCGCGCGGGGTGCGCGTGTGCCAGTGTGTCGCGAGTGTTACCTGAGCGCCGTGCGAGAGTGCGGGCGGCGCGGGGTGCGCGTGTGCCAGTGTGTCGCGAGTGTTACCTGAGCGCCGTGCGAGAGTGCGGGCGGCGCGGGGTGCGCGTGTGCCAGTGTGTCGCGAGTGTTACCTGAGCGCCGTGCGAGAGTGCGGGCGGCGCGGGGTGCGCGTGCGCGGGGCGTGCGGGGCGCGCGGGGTGCGCGTGTGCCAGTGTGTCGCGAGTGTTACCTGAGCGCCGTGCGAGAGTGCGGGCGGCGCGGGGTGCGCGTGTGCCAGTGTGTCGCGAGTGTTACCTGAGCGCCGTGCGAGAGTGCGGGCGGCGCGGGGTGCGCGTGTGCCAGTGTGTCGCGAGTGTTACCTGAGCGCCGTGCGAGAGTGCGGGCGGCGCGGGGTGCGCGTGTGCCAGTGTGTCGCGAGTGTTACCTGAGCGCCGTGCGAGAGTGCGGGCGGCGCGGGGTGCGCGTGTGCCAGTGTGTCGCGAGTGTTACCTGAGCGCCGTGCGAGAGTGCGGGCGGCGCGGGGTGCGCGTGCGCGGGGCGTGCGGGGCGCGCGGGGTGCGCGTGTGCCAGTGTGTCGCGAGTGTTACCTGAGCGCCGTGCGAGAGTGCGGGCGGCGCGGGGTGCGCGTGTGCCAGTGTGTCGCGAGTGTTACCTGAGCGCCGTGCGAGAGTGCGGGCGGCGCGGGGTGCGCGTGTGCCAGTGTGTCGCGAGTGTTACCTGAGCGCCGTGCGAGAGTGCGGGCGGCGCGGGGTGCGCGTGTGCCAGTGTGTCGCGAGTGTTACCTGAGCGCCGTGCGAGAGTGCGGGCGGCGCGGGGTGCGCGTGCGCGGGGCGTGCGAGGCGCGCGGGGTGCGCGTGTGCCAGTGTGTCGCGAGTGTTACCTGAGCGCCGTGCGAGAGTGCGGGCGGCGCGGGGTGCGCGTGTGCCAGTGTGTCGCGAGTGTTACCTGAGCGCCGTGCGAGAGTGCGGGCGGCGCGGGGTGCGCGTGTGCCAGTGTGTCGCGAGTGTTACCTGAGCGCCGTGCGAGAGTGCGGGCGGCGCGGGGTGCGCGTGCGCGGGGCGTGCGGGGCGCGCGGGGTGCGCGTGTGCCAGTGTGTCGCGAGTGTTACCTGAGCGCCGTGCGAGAGTGCGGGCGGCGCGGGGTGCGCGTGTGCCAGTGTGTCGCGAGTGTTACCTGAGCGCCGTGCGAGAGTGCGGGCGGCGCGGGGTGCGCGTGTGCCAGTGTGTCGCGAGTGTTACCTGAGCGCCGTGCGAGAGTGCGGGCGGCGCGGGGTGCGCGTGCGCGGGGCGTGCGGGGCGCGCGGGGTGCGCGTGTGCCAGTGTGTCGCGAGTGTTACCTGAGCGCCGTGCGAGAGTGCGGGCGGCGCGGGGTGCGCGTGTGCCAGTGTGTCGCGAGTGTTACCTGAGCGCCGTGCGAGAGTGCGGGCGGCGCGGGGTGCGCGTGTGCCAGTGTGTCGCGAGTGTTACCTGAGCGCCGTGCGAGAGTGCGGGCGGCGCGGGGTGCGCGTGCGCGGGGCGTGCGGGGCGCGCGGGGTGCGCGTGTGCCAGTGTGTCGCGAGTGTTACCTGAGCGCCGTGCGAGAGTGCGGGCGGCGCGGGGTGCGCGTGCGCGGGGCGTGCGGGGCGCGCGGGGTGCGCGGTGCGCGCGCGCAGGCGCCGGCATAGCCGCAGCACCGCCACGTCGCCGCGCCCGCTCATTATCTGCGCACACACAAGCATTACTTATGTTGTAAGTGAAAGTACAGTTAATAGACTGTCCTAGTGAAGAAGGAAGAAAGTGACGGTGGGTGAAGCCGCGGAAGATTACCACAATTTGGAGCGGCGCCGAAGTCAGGGCTGCTGCCGACTTCGAAAGTCCCGGCAGGTCTATCACCACTAACACCACAAACCACCACTATACTCAACACATACACACCTACGGCCTGATCGAGCCCTGAGACATCAGTCGCCTTACATATAGGTAAGTAATATCTATTTGATTAGCCTCCCCTTTAATTGTAGTAGGATACAACATTTTCCATATAGTTTATTGTGATAGAATAATTCTCCATAGGCCTTTTGAGCGCCACCCTTAGTTGTCCGTCGAATCTACAGCTGTATGGGCCCCTGTATGGTCGACCTTTGTCGGGGCAACTAGGGGCGTGTACATAATTTATTTATATAAAGTAGCAGCGTTACAACTTATAGTTACTTCCAAAACCAATATCAATCTCACAATCAATTACTCTAGTATTTATATAAATTTACATTTTACTAAGCGATCCATACGGTGACGCACGGCCTACTTATTAGGAGTGCTTGTAAAGCATATATTGGAGAGTTCATCGCTCTTAACCTCTCCCTCCCCAAGAGAAAAATTATTCGAAGGAGATGTAGTTGACTTATTATTTTCCTATTTGTATGCTGCAACATTTACTCGTAGATTAACTATGTGGGTATCATCTTTGCACTGCTCCATCAGTATAACATCGTCTTCCGCATATATGGTCCAGTATGCATTATGTATCCAGCGGTCAAAAGATATTTTCTGTATTTTCAGCTTCTCTATTTTTATTTCATGTCGATGGCAATGACTGAAGTTGTTTTTAATCAGCATTATTTCCTCAATGCATGTTTCTTCCTCAACTGGTGCCATATTTTCCTCCGAACATAAGTGTTTGTTCGGCTCTATCTGGGTACACGGATTTACTACGTTTCTGTATTTCAAACCATTCACTAATAGGTAGGGATATTTAGGAATTATAGTATAGGTGTTGGTCAATTTTTTATAGGGGTGGGAATAATCTTGTAATAGTTATACGTTTCTTTTTCTATTAATGGTATTTCTAAAATAAAAACTAGTTAATCTTTATCCATATAACATTTTAGGATAATGTTACGTTCTAATTTTAAAAAGTTATTTCTTGTTACTAGGTAAATAGTTTGTGCATTTTGTTCCATAGTTTTAAAAACGTTTAGTAATTCTGTAGAATTAATGATGGATTGATGTAGGGTACGTAATTTACTGAAAGTTATTAAGAATTTGTTAAAGGCTATTGTACGAATGAGATTATCAGTTTTTGACTCTAGTTTGTCAACTTGTTTAAACTTAATGTGCAAGTTTTCAACGTTAATATTGATAACCTCAGATAAATTGGTTAACGCGTTAAACGCTTTTTGCATTGACGATATTTTACGTTCTGCTAAGTTTTCTTTAACTCCCAAATTTGCAATTTCCTCGTTGAATTTGATGGCATCTTCTTCATCTAAATTTCCTGATATAATTTTTATTATGGACCCCAAAGGACTCTATGGCTCTTTTTCTTTTACGGCTAGAACTTATTTGATCGTAATTGTCCTGAACTAGGTACTTTAACTAACCAATCTATTACTTTTTGTATAACTAATAGTTCTTTTTCTAGGCTATTTTCTTTTATAATGTTATTAATTTTATTGCATATATTTATATTATTATTCTTTACTGTTTTTTAAACTGTCCAATAACTACTCCTCATCACTGCTGTTCCATATTTCAGCGGGGTTATTCCCGGGTTCCGCTCCAGATTTTGAAGTTCCAGTCTGTGGATCTGGTTCACAAGTGTCAGAAGTACCAGCCACGAGCTGTGGAGGACGTTTTATATTTTTAGCAGCTACTCTAGTTTTCTTTTATTTAACTCTACTGGAACAATGTTACGATTTGTTTCACCTATTACTTTTTGCTTTTTCATAACGTGGTAATTCCTTAGCTTTCCTTGTCCGAGTTGTTTTCATAAGTACTGTATCACCTTCTTTAATTTTTGGTATTTCTTCACCCCCTTTCTTGTCCCTAACTTTAGCTTTATTATCTTTCAGTTTTTCCCCAACATATTCGTTTAGACGTTTTCTGTGATCTTGTAATAGCTTTTGAATTAGGTTGTGTTCGCTATTTATATCAAAAATATTACCGCCGTCAGTATTACCAAAAACTATTTCAAAAGGTGTAAATTCCGTTGCTGAATGGATGCTATTATTGTATACCATTATAGCGTATGTCATTACTGAACATGCATCCAGATCGCTTTTATCATACTTTTCTAATCTATATATTTCGATTACTGTGGAGTGGAATCTTTCCACTATGGCCATTGAACTAGGATTATTTGATGTGCTAATATGAAGTTCTATTTTGTACAGGTTTAAAAGTTCTTTAATTAGTTCGTTATTAAACTCAGCTCCAGAATCGCCGTTTATTTTGCGTGGAATTCCATACATACTGAAATATTTTATTAATGCTCTGACTACTTCTGTTGTAATTCTATTGTGAATGTTTATAGCCTGTCCAGGCTTGCTGAAAGCATCGAACACAGTACGGTAATACGGCTTTTCTATAAATAAAAGATCCATGAAGACTTCTGGGAATGGGCTATATTGATTTTGTGTTAGTTGAATAAGAGGTTTTGGGGATTTTCTTTCGTATTTCATTTTTCGACATGGCTCGCATCAATTAATAATGGCTGTTATAGTTTCTTTCATATTTGCCCACCAGTAGTGTCTTTTGATTTTTGCTAAGGTCTCGTTGATACCTCTATGACACGTTTTCCCCTCGTAGTACGCTACAACTACTCATCTTTGGTCGTGTTCTGAATCGGTTAGATTAACTATTCTGTCTATACATTCGATCAAGTTATAAGTTCTTTTTTTTTGTATAATTCGATTACTACTTTACTAAAAGTTTGCTGAATTCCACGTTTTCGAAATATATATAATATTTATGTTTAAAATCAATATATTCTTTAAAAAAATCTTTGATAAGTCTCTCATTACTTAGAGGCATGTGAACCTCTAGTATTTATTGCTTCTTATTTGAAATAAGTTTAACAGATATTTTATCAGTAAACCATGTGAAGCCTAAAATTTGACGTGGTTTAGTGTCTATAGCTTCATTCAGAATAGGAATCCCTTCATGTTCCCTGTTTAATACTGAGTTAGCTGTGGCACAATCGTCTGATAATTCCATCAGTTCCATTGGTGGCTCAACTTCGATATCGAAAACAACTATGGATTTCTCACTTTCCGTGACGTAAGTTGATATAACTGATGATGTTTTAGGTTTCTTTTCTACGACTGTTACAAATTCGTCGTTTAATTCTTTGACCATTTGTTTGATACCTTCATCGTCATCTATATTAGCTAGAGTTGAGTCGAGATCGTTGTCTAATACGTTTAATCTTATTCTTGACAGCGCATCTGCGTTTGTGTTTTTGCTGTCCTTTTTTATATTCAATTTCAAAATCGTATTCTTGCAATCTAAGTCGCAACGAGTTAACTTACTGTTGGGTTCTTTAAGGGAGTAGAGCCAGGCTAGAGCCTACGGCCTGTGGTCCGTATAAATAGTATATTTTTTAGTATAAATAGGGTCTGAAATGTTTTACCGCCCAAGCTACTAAACTACCCCTAAGAGCTCTTTTTCTATAGTACTATATCTAGTTTCTGTGTCAGTTAATGTCCTACTTGCGTAAGCCATTGGCTTATCGTTTCCAATAGTGCCCTGTGATAGAACAGCTCCAATAGCATAATTGGATGAATCGGTTGTTAACATGAAAGGTTTTTCAAAATTTGGGAATTGTAATATTGGAGCATTTGTTAAGTTTTTTATAGGTTTCAAAACTTTCCTTATATTCATAATCATTATCATCATTACAGCCCTTCACAAGTCCACTGCTGAACATAGGCCTCCCCCAAAAAATGCCACAAAGCACGGTCCTGAGCCACCTGCATCCATCGACTTCCTGCATATCTTACCAGGTCGTCACTCCATCTAGAGGGGGGACGCCCTACACTTCGCCTGCCGGTACGAGGCTGCCACTCGAGAACCTTTCTTCCCCATCGGTTGTTGGTTCTTCGAGCTACATGGCCGACCCATTGCCACTTCAGCTTACTAATCCGTTGGGCTATGTCGGTCACTCTGGTTCTACTGCGGATATCCTCATTTCTTAGTTTATCACGCAGAGAAACTCCGAGCATAGCCCTCTCCATAGCTCGCTGAGCGACCTTGAGCTTCCTCATCCGGCCAGCAGTGAAGGACCACATCTCAGTTCCGTATGTCATCACTGGCAACACGCACTGGGTGTACAGTCTCGTTTTCTAATTTTGAGGTATACCTGACGAGAAGATGTGTCGTAATTTCCCGAACGCTGCCCAACCGAGTTGAATCCGTCGATTGACCTCTCGGTCGAAGTTGGACCTAGTCGGACTATTTGTCCCAGGTAAACATACTCGTCAACAACTTCGAGCTTAGTGTTCCCAACAACTACCGGCATAGGTGTGACATGGACATTAAAAATGATCTTTGTTTTGTCCATGTTCATCTTAAGACCTATCCGTTGGGAAACACTATTGAGGTCATTGAGCATAGTGCTTAGGTCCTCCAGCGATTCTGCCATAAGGACTATATCGTCGGCAAATCGAAGGTGAGTGATTTACTCGCCATTGATGTTGATACCGTACCCTTTCCAGTCCAGAAGCTTGAAAACATCTTCCAATGCAGCGGTAAAGAGTTTCGGGGATATGACGTCACCCTGTCTTACACCTCTCTGCAATTGGATAGGTTTCGTACTCTGGTTCTGTACTCGGATAGCCATCGTAGCCCTACTGTACAAGCACTTCAACACTTCGATATACCGACAGTCAACTTGGCATCGCTGAAGAGACTGCAGCACCGCCCAAATTTCGACGGAATCAAAGGCTTTCTCATAGTCCACATACGCCAGACATAGTGGCAAATTGTACGCCTCGGACTTCTGTACAATTTGCCGAAGGGTATGTATGTGGTCTATGGTGCTAAAGCCTTTTCGGAAACCGGCTTGTTCGGGAGGCTGGAAGTCATCAAGTTTGCGCGCGAGACGATTCGTAATGACTCTCGAAAACAGCACGTAGACGCGGCTCAGAAGGGAAATCGGTCTGTAGTTCTTCAAGAGAGCATTGTCGCCTTTCTTGAAGAACAAGACCACCGCACTTCTGCTCCACGCCTCCGGTGTAATGCCACCATGGAAGACGGAATCAAAATGCAGATGCGTTGTCACCCGTGAGGACTAAGATGGAATGCCTCATTTCCAGTAAAAAGGGCCTCCGGCCACCTGCACTCACCAAGCAAAACGCAGAGGTAAACCTCTACTTTACGCTGGTATTCTGTGAGGTCATGGTACCACCCCGGTTCGAGCCGGCCCATCTGTGCGACTGCAAAAGCTGCCGCGTGGCTCTACCACGGTTCAAATTTATATTATAAATTTACATCTTACTAAGCGATCCGTACGGTAACGCACGGCCTATTTATTAGGAGTGCTTGTAAAGCAGATATTGGAGGGGTCATCGCTCAAAACCCAGGCGCCGTCAGAGTGCTGTTTATCATTTGGTAAGTGTATTGAACTGGAAACCCTTTTCACTAGAATCGAGGCACTTAGTCCATAGGGGTGCAAAAGCGTCTGCATTTTGTGACTTAATCGAGGATAGATTTAGAGGTGTTTGGGCCACAGCATCCGCTTATCATCAGTGGAGTGTGTGCCCGTTTGTGACCGTTATTGTATAAGTGAATGTGTGTGGTGTGGTGAGGTACCATGCCGGCGGCGAGCAGGCACACGCACAGGCAGGTCTCGAGCGTGGCGGCGCCCGCCAGGTCGGCCAGGCGGCGGCCGCGCGCGCCCAGCAGGCGCGCACAGGTCTGCAGCACGGCGTCCCGCGCCTCCTCGTCGCCGGAGCCCGCGAAGCGCAGCCCCAGCGCGAAGCACGCGCCCGCCACTATGTTGCAGTACGCCTGGCTAAGGACGAACAAGCCGCGTGAGACGGTGCCGCAACACGACTTCTTTTACAAACCTCAACGAATATTAAATTACTATTCTACGAACATGGTAATAACGTGTAATAAACTTTTTTAATTTACACATTTGTAATATGTATTATATATACGAAAGGAAAATAGTAGTCGGCATTGTTTTAATGTATGTATGCATACTACGCGTAAAATTACGCAATTGCATTCATCCAATTTAAAAATACGGCAACAAAATAAGCACAAGTAAAATTAGTAGATTCTGGTTTGTTCACTTATCAAATTCGTTTTCCCCTTTCTACCGACTTCAAAAAGGAAGAGGTATCAATTCGACTGTATGTTTTTATGTGTGTTACCTCATAACTTTTTTCTACGTGAACCGATTTCGATGATTCTTTTTCTACCGACTTCAAAAGGAGACGGTACTCAATTCAACTGTATATTTTTTATGTGTGTTACGTCATAACTTTTTACTTGGTGAACCAATTTTGATTATTCTTTTTTTATTTGAAAGCTGGTGCTTTTGATGTGGTCAAGGTCTGACCAACAGTTTTTGAGTTATCCTTAATAATATATATTGAAGTCGGTTGTATAAAATGTTTAATTTTAAATTACTCAATATTAAAAGAAGGAATATCATCAATACACACACAGCACCACGATATCTTTAGTATTTTATTTTTAGTACTGTATAGAATAGGACAGAGAAGATTAGATTGGCCGACAATCAGTTATACACTAACTAAAACCATAATTTAATCGAAGCCTTAACTATAATCTCAAAGATCAACTCTTAGGGTGCGTAGAGATCAAGTAACATGTTGTATAACCTTTGTTTTATAACACATCCATATTATATAACATTGTTTTTCAACATTGCAAAATATAACAATACTGTACAAATTAAAATAACAATGCAATATAACAATGTTATATGACATTGTCGTATGACATGTCGTTTGTCGGTCTGCCGTGCGGGTTATATAATATCTGTGTCACGTTATATAACACTGCATATAACATGTTATGTTATATAATGTGTACGCACCGTAATGTGTCACTTTCACTTGTCCGATTTAACACTATCAAAGAAAGATGCTGCCCGTACTTGAACGAAGTCATAAGTTATATACTAGAGACATGAGGGGTCATATTAACTTCATTAAAGTATGAAAAACAAAAACAAAATATTTTTGTGTGGTGTTATGGTCATTTGGATGAATGTACCTTATGTAGGCATCGTCAAATTTATATTACAAGAACTAAGTACTTAACTTAAACTTACTTTAACTTTTACTTAACTTTTTTACTTATTATAAGCCCGTGCATGACTACAATCCCACCTGATGGTAACAGAACAGAACAGAAGGTAAGTAGTGATAAAGCCCTAAATAATACACCGCACTGACTTAGCGTAAAAAAAATTTATTCAATCTTGTATTGAAGACACCCAGATTGTTATCGGACAGAAAGGTGGACGTCGGCAAATTATTCCACTCCACTAACGTCAGTGGCGAATCTAGGGCTCCAAACTATAGCAAGCCCAAGATATGGTTTTGTTGTTTTTAGCACTTTTATAAAAATACACCAATCTTGATCTGTCTCCACTCTTCAGTTTCATATTCAGAGCTGTTGAGGACGTGTTTAACAAAGCACACAGAAGGCATACTACTGCTAGATAGATTGTATGACATAGCAGCAATTGCATACTTTCGGTGGCTTTGAAAAAAGCCGTTTGGGTTTGCTTGAGCGAAAGAAAAAGATATTTACATACAAAACAATACATGAAAAAAAAGCATGAACAAAGTACAAACAAACTATGTACAAAATTAAAAAACCACATATTTATATTCTAAATCGAATCGAGAAAAATGTTGGCGAACGTTTTTGTGGATATATTTTCCTCGCCGACTTTAAAACACTTCAATTTATTACAAGGAATACTATTATCCTCCATTTCCACCAAAAATCTTTAAAAAATCATAAATTTTCAACTCGCAATATTCATTCGCTCAAGTAAACACACAGAGTAAACATTGAAATGTGAAGTTGCAAACGTATCGCCTGCGCGCCCTCGCGCTCGACTAACTTCACACTCAAAGCCCTGATTATGGCTCCATACTAATTGCTATATAAAAAATCGTGGTTATATTTCATTATAGAACCTTTTGCAACAGGTTAAAAAGGGAGCGATCGTCTTCTTAAAAGCCCGGTAAAATGCCCACGCGTACGAGAGAGACGACTAATCGCTCAACTCAACTCCTTTTTAATGAAAGCAATATCGCGCAGTTTTGCCGCGACCGACGAATTTTGACAGTCCATTGCGTGTTCGCTTTGAGACGGAGAAAACACGAATCAATGTATTTCGAATTGAAAGCATCTAATGGGGTTGTCATAAACTAATTTGCTTATTTGTTTATAACAACCCCATTATAATGGATTTCTGCAAAGTAACGCCTGATTCTATCAATTATCTTGAAAGCATCTGTTCAATCTGTCAAGTGTTACGTTACATAATAAGGTTACGAGGTCATAACCTGTGTAGAACAGAAGAGCGCGCGGAAAATTCGAAATAGTTTGAAACAGTCTACGAGTAATTATTTTATTAGTTGATATTATGGATTGAGCAGTTTGATAGGGCAAGCTCGGTTTCTCGGCTTCTATGGAGGCTTCGCTACCGACTGCCGTATGCATTACTAAAGTAAGTTTAGTTTGAATGCGTGAAATATCGACAACAAATAGTATGAAAGCCCGGCGACCGTCTGATTGTCCGATGGTCGAAAGAGGAAGGAATTTAGGCATTATCAAAACTGCGCACGCTTTCCGAAATGCGTCGTATAGAACACAGAGACGAAACTTAATTAGAAATTTTATGTTCACCATTCCACATTAAAGTATGACACAATTAGAAGTAAAAATTACATAATATGGTATAAATTACTTACTTCATTGCTTCATAGTCGATATTTTCTTCAGTAGGTTTCACGAAGCAATAGGGTTTAATCGTTGCTGGTACTTGGTCTTCGATCCATTCCTCTGACGCTTCTATACTGTCCCACAGTATTAAACCTAAAATTTGAATAAAATCAGAAAAAACATAGATTTTTGAGCGTTGTTATTAACTTTAATGCCATAGTTGTACACAATAAGCCAAGGTTTACTACTACATACCCACCTCGCCTTCGTTGATTCTATATACTCTTGTAAAACCGAATGTTTCGAGGTTTGTAAGACTTGATGTCTACTAAACTTGAACGCTTTTATAATAATTATGAGAGAGGCAAAAAAGGATTTTCTGGTGTCGGGGACCGGTGCGGTCCGGTGCTCACCTCGCGCCACGACGCGCAGCATGAGCAGGTCGGGGCGCACGAAGTCCAGCAGGTAGGGCGTGGCGGGCGCGCGCAGCCAGGCGGCGGGCGCGCAGTCGCCGGCGCGCAGGAACAGCAGCCCCAGCGCCAGCGTGGCGCCCGGCGCCGTCACGTCCGCGTTCCCGCCGCACCACTCGCGCGCCGCTAATCACAAATATTTGCACTAAAAACTTTGGCCTATTTATATTGTGAACTTGAGTAGTAACGTGATGGTGAGTCGTGTGTTGTAAGAACTATATTTGAGTAAAGATTAATAAATTTTAAATGTGACATTAGCAATGAATGTAGATATGCGAAATTACAGACGGTTGCGGGCAGGCAAGTGAACTAGCGAGTAAAATAGTGCATGTTAATGTTTCGGAGAGTGAGCCCCAGCGCGAGGTGAGTGAGTGAGTGAGTGAGTGAGTGAGTGAGTGCGCACCGTGCAGCGTGCGGCGGTCCGCGCCGAGCACGTAGGCGCGCAGGCGCGTGGCGAGGTGCGCGGGCGCGGCGTGCGCGGCGCCGACACACACCAGCCCCAGCGCGAGGTGAGTGAGTGAGTGAGTGAGTGAGCGAGTGAGTGCGCACCGTGCAGCGTGCGGCGGTCCGCGCCGAGCACGTAGGCGCGCAGGCGCGTGGCGAGGTGCGCGGGCGCGGCGTGCGCGGCGCCGACACACACCAGCCCCAGCGCGAGGTGAGTGAGTGAGTGAGTGAGTGAGCGAGTGAGTGCGCACCGTGCAGCGTGCGGCGGTCCGCGCCGAGCACGTAGGCGCGCAGGCGCGTGGCGAGGTGCGCGGGCGCGGCGTGCGCGGCGCCGACACACACCAGCCCCAGCGCGAGGTGAGTGAGTGAGTGAGTGAGTGAGCGAGTGAGTGCGCACCGTGCAGCGTGCGGCGGTCCGCGCCGAGCACGTAGGCGCGCAGGCGCGTGGCGAGGTGCGCGGGCGCGGCTTGCGCGACGCCGACACACACCAGCCCCAGCGCGAGGTGAGTGAGTGAGTGAGTGAGCGAGTGAGTGCGCACCGTGGAGCGTGCGGCGGTCCGCGCCGAGCACGTAGGCGCGCAGGCGCGTGGCGAGGTGCGCGGGCGCGACGTGCGCGGCGCCGACACACACCAGCCCCAAGGCGAGGTGAGTGAGTGAGTGAGTGAGTGAGTGAGCGAGTGAGTGCGCACCGTGCAGCGTGCGGCGGTCCGCGCCGAGCACGTAGGCGCGCAGGCGCGTGGCGAGGTGCGCGGGCGCGACGTGCGCGGCGCCGACACACACCAGCCCCAAGGCGAGGTGAGTGAGTGAGTGAGTGAGTGAGTGAGCGAGTGAGTGCGCACCGTGCAGCGTGCGGCGGTCCGCGCCGAGCACGTAGGCGCGCAGGCGCGTGGCGAGGTGCGCGGGCGCGGCGTGCGCGGCGCCGACACACACCAGCCCCAGCGCGAGGTGAGTGAGTGAGTGAGTGAGTGAGCGAGTGAGTGCGCACCGTGCAGCGTGCGGCGGTCCGCGCCGAGCACGTAGGCGCGCAGGCGCGTGGCGAGGTGCGCGGGCGCGGCGTGCGCGGCGCCGACACACACCAGCCCCAGCGCGAGGTGAGTGAGTGAGTGAGTGAGTGAGCGAGTGAGTGCGCACCGTGCAGCGTGCGGCGGTCCGCGCCGAGCACGTAGGCGCGCAGGCGCGTGGCGAGGTGCGCGGGCGCGGCTTGCGCGACGCCGACACACACCAGCCCCAGCGCGAGGTGAGTGAGTGAGTGGGTGAGCGAGTGAGTGCGCACCGTGCAGCGTGCGGCGGTCCGCGCCGAGCACGTAGGCGCGCAGGCGCGTGGCGAGGTGCGCGGGCGCGACGTGCGCGGCGCCGACACACACCAGCCCCAAGGCGAGGTGAGTGAGTGAGTGAGTGAGTGAGTGAGCGAGTGAGTGCGCACCGTGCAGCGTGCGGCGGTCCGCGCCGAGCACGTAGGCGCGCAGGCGCGTGGCGAGGTGCGCGGGCGCGGCGTGCGCGGCGCCGACACACACCAGCCCCAAGGCGAGGTGAGTGAGTGAGTGAGTGAGTGAGTGAGCGAGTGAGTGCGCACCGTGCAGCGTGCGGCGGTCCGCGCCGAGCACGTAGGCGCGCAGGCGCGTGGCGAGGTGCGCGGGCGCGGCGTGCGCGGCGCCGACACACACCAGCCCCAAGGCGAGGTGAGTGAGTGAGTGAGTGAGTGAGCGAGTGAGTGCGCACCGTGCAGCGTGCGGCGGTCCACGCCGAGCACGTAGGCGCGCAGGCGCGTGGCGAGGTGCGCGGGCGCGGCGTGCGCGGCGCCGACACACACCAGCCCCAGCGCGAGGTGAGTGAGTGAGTGAGTGAGTGAGCGAGTGAGTGCGCACCGTGCAGCGTGCGGCGGTCCGCGCCGAGCACGTAGGCGCGCAGGCGCGTGGCGAGGTGCGCGGGCGCGGCGTGCGCAGCGCCGACACACACCAGCCCCAGCGCGAGGTGAGTGAGTGAGTGAGTGAGCGAGTGAGTGCGCACCGTGCAGCGTGCGGCGGTCCGCGCCGAGCACGTAGGCGCGCAGGCGCGTGGCGAGGTGCGCGGGCGCGGCGTGCGCGGCGCCGACACACACCAGCCCCAGCGCGAGGTGAGTGAGTGAGTGAGTGAGCGAGTGAGTGCGCACCGTGCAGCGGTCCGCGCCGAGCACGTAGGCGCGCAGGCGCGTGGCGAGGTGCGCGGGCGCGGCGTGCGCGGCGCCGACACACACCAGCCCCAAGGCGAGGTGAGTGAGTGAGTGAGTGAGTGAGTGAGCGAGTGAGTGCGCACCGTGCAGCGTGCGGCGGTCCGCGCCGAGCACGTAGGCGCGCAGGCGCGTGGCGAGGTGCGCGGGCGCGGCTTGCGCGGCGCCGACACACACCAGCCCCAGCGCGAGGTGAGTGAGTGAGTGAGTGAGTGAGTGAGTGAGCGAGTGAGTGCGCACCGTGCAGCGTGCGGCGGTCCGCGCCGAGCACGTAGGCGCGCAGGCGCGTGGCGAGGTGCGCGGGCGCGGCGTGCGCGGCGCCGACACACACCAGCCCCAGCGCGAGGTGAGTGAGTGAGTGAGTGAGTGAGTGAGCGAGTGAGTGCGCACCGTGCAGCGTGCGGCGGTCCGCGCCGAGCACGTAGGCGCGCAGGCGCGTGGCGAGGTGCGCGGGCGCGGCGTGCGCGGCGCCGACACACACCAGCCCCAAGGCGAGGTGAGTGAGTGAGTGAGTGAGTGAGTGAGCGAGTGAGTGCGCACCGTGCAGCGTGCGGCGGTCCGCGCCGAGCACGTAGGCGCGCAGGCGCGTGGCGAGGTGCGCGGGCGCGGCGTGCGCGGCGCCGACACACACCAGCCCCAAGGCGAGGTGAGTGAGTGAGTGAGTGAGTGAGTGAGCGAGTGAGTGCGCACCGTGCAGCGTGCGGCGGTCCGCGCCGAGCACGTAGGCGCGCAGGCGCGTGGCGAGGTGCGCGGGCGCGGCGTGCGCGGCGCCGACACACACCAGCCCCAGCGCGAGGTGAGTGAGTGAGTGAGTGAGCGAGTGAGTGCGCACCGTGCAGCGTGCGGCGGTCCGCGCCGAGCACGTAGGCGCGCAGGCGCGTGGCGAGGTGCGCGGGCGCGGCGTGCGCGGCGCCGACACACACCAGCCCCAAGGCGAGGTGAGTGAGTGAGTGAGTGAGTGAGTGAGCGAGTGAGTGCGCACCGTGCAGCGTGCGGCGGTCCGCGCCGAGCACGTAGGCGCGCAGGCGCGTGGCGAGGTGCGCGGGCGCGGCTTGCGCGGCGCCGACACACACCAGCCCCAGCGCGAGGTGAGTGAGTGAGTGAGTGAGTGAGTGAGCGAGTGAGTGCGCACCGTGCAGCGTGCGGCGGTCCGCGCCGAGCACGTAGGCGCGCAGGCGCGTGGCGAGGTGCGCGGGCGCGGCGTGCGCGGCGCCGACACACACCAGCCCCAGCGCGAGGTGAGTGAGTGAGTGAGTGAGCGAGTGAGTGCGCACCGTGCAGCGTGCGGCGGTCCGCGCCGAGCACGTAGGCGCGCAGGCGCGTGGCGAGGTGCGCGGGCGCGGCGTGCGCGGCGCCGACACACACCAGCCCCAGCGCGAGGTGAGTGAGTGAGTGAGTGAGTGAGCGAGTGAGTGCGCACCGTGCAGCGTGCGGCGGTCCGCGCCGAGCACGTAGGCGCGCAGGCGCGTGGCGAGGTGCGCGGGCGCGGCGTGCGCGGCGCCGACACACACCAGCCCCAGCGCGAGGTGAGTGAGTGAGTGAGTGAGTGAGTGAGCGAGTGAGTGCGCACCGTGCAGCGTGCGGCGGTCCGCGCCGAGCACGTAGGCGCGCAGGCGCGTGGCGAGGTGCGCGGGCGCGGCTTGCGCGGCGCCGACACACACCAGCCCCAGCGCGAGGTGAGTGAGTGAGTGAGTGAGTGAGTGAGTGAGTGCGCACCGTGCAGCGTGCGGCGGTCCGCGCCGAGCACGTAGGCGCGCAGGCGCGTGGCGAGGTGCGCGGGCGCGGCGTGCGCGGCGCCGACACACACCAGCCCCAGCGCGAGGTGAGTGAGTGAGTGAGTGAGTGAGTGAGCGAGTGAGTGCGCACCGTGCAGCGTGCGGCGGTCCGCGCCGAGCACGTAGGCGCGCAGGCGCGTGGCGAGGTGCGCGGGCGCGGCTTGCGCGGCGCCGACACACACCTGCCCCAGCGCGAGGTGAGTGAGTGAGTGAGTGAGTGAGTGAGTGAGTGCGCACCGTGCAGCGTGCGGCGGTCCGCGCCGAGCACGTAGGCGCGCAGGCGCGTGGCGAGGTGCGCGGGCGCGGCGTGCGCGGCGCCGACACACACCAGCCCCAGCGCGAGGTGAGTGAGTGAGTGAGTGAGTGAGTGCGCACCGTGCAGCGTGCGGCGGTCCGCGCCGAGCACGTAGGCGCGCAGGCGCGTGGCGAGGTGCGCGGGCGCGGCGTGCGCGGCGCCGACACACACCAGCCCCAGCGCGAGGTGAGTGAGTGAGTGAGTGAGTGAGTGAGTGAGTGCGCACCGTGCAGCGTGCGGCGGTCCGCGCCGAGCACGTAGGCGCGCAGGCGCGTGGCGAGGTGCGCGGGCGCGGCGTGCGCGGCGCCGACACACACCAGCCCCAGCGCGAGGTGAGTGAGTGAGTGAGTGAGTGAGTGAGCGAGTGAGTGCGCACCGTGCAGCGTGCGGCGGTCCGCGCCGAGCACGTAGGCGCGCAGGCGCGTGGCGAGGTGCGCGGGCGCGGCTTGCGCGGCGCCGACACACACCAGCCCCAGCGCGAGGTGAGTGAGTGAGTGAGTGAGTGAGTGAGTGAGTGCGCACCGTGCAGCGTGCGGCGGTCCGCGCCGAGCACGTAGGCGCGCAGGCGCGTGGCGAGGTGCGCGGGCGCGGCGTGCGCGGCGCCGACACACACCAGCCCCAGCGCGAGGTGAGTGAGTGAGTGAGTGAGTGAGTGAGTGCGCACCGTGCAGCGTGCGGCGGTCCGCGCCGAGCACGTAGGCGCGCAGGCGCGTGGCGAGGTGCGCGGGCGCGGCGTGCGCGGCGCCGACACACACCAGCCCCAGCGCGAGGTGAGTGAGTGAGTGAGTGAGTGAGTGAGTGAGTGCGCACCGTGCAGCGTGCGGCGGTCCGCGCCGAGCACGTAGGCGCGCAGGCGCGTGGCGAGGTGCGCGGGCGCGGCGTGCGCGGCGCCGACACACACCAGCCCCAGCGCGAGGTGAGTGAGTGAGTGAGTGAGTGAGTGAGTGAGTGCGCACCGTGCAGCGTGCGGCGGTCCGCGCCGAGCACGTAGGCGCGCAGGCGCGTGGCGAGGTGCGCGGGCGCGGCGTGCGCGGCGCCGACACACACCAGCCCCAGCGCGAGGTGAGTGAGTGAGTGAGTGAGTGAGCGAGTGAGTGCGCACCGTGCAGCGTGCGGCGGTCCGCGCCGAGCACGTAGGCGCGCAGGCGCGTGGCGAGGTGCGCGGGCGCGGCGTGCGCGGCGCCGACACACACCAGCCCCAGCGCGAGGTGAGTGAGTGAGTGAGTGAGTGAGTGAGTGAGTGCGCACCGTGCAGCGTGCGGCGGTCCGCGCCGAGCACGTAGGCGCGCAGGCGCGTGGCGAGGTGCGCGGGCGCGGCGTGCGCGGCGCCGACACACACCAGCCCCAGCGCGAGGTGAGTGAGTGAGTGAGTGAGTGAGCGAGTGAGTGCGCACCGTGCAGCGTGCGGCGGTCCGCGCCGAGCACGTAGGCGCGCAGGCGCGTGGCGAGGTGCGCGGGCGCGGCGTGCGCGGCGCCGACACACACCAGCCCCAGCGCGAGCCCCGCCGCCAGGGCATACCCCTCGCGCTCCACGCAGTTCTCCATCTCGGGACCAGGCGGCTTACCTGTAAACACATAAAGGCAAAGTGGCAACATGACCTGCAGTGTTAAATCATGGATGAGCCCGGTTTACTATCCAAACCTCGTTTACGTTAAGGAGAGCTTTCAAAGTGAGTGTACAATACAGAAATACTAATTAAAAATAAAGATGAAATGCATTTGAATAATAATAGCCTTAAGTCATTGTTTCCTAGATAGCGCTGTCTTCTAGTTACAATTGTCATCTAGTTGTGTGTTGTTTTCTATGATCAGCATTATTAATGGAACACTAGGTGTCGCTGATAAATTCATAATGTAAAATTAAATCACGATGTAAAGAGTGTCTCGCCTGACCAATAAGTAGGTTTAAGATACGTCCACTATACGTTTGGAGTTTCATTTCTAATGACCACATTTAGTATTGTTGAAGATTTTTGAAAGTGTGAAGTATGAAGTGAAGAAAAGGTATTTCTTAGATTTGATGAAGTATAGATTTTCTAGGGAGGCACCGACCATTCCTTCTATAATAATAAATAAATGTACTATGAAAAAGAGTTAGAAACTTAGAAGTTCCATCTGAGTTAGTAACACCATCTTACCTATTTCTGTCCCCAATAACAGTGTTGACACTGCTGTTTCAGTCTGAGGGGTATGGAGAGCCAGTTTAAATTTCAGGTTGCAAGGCACTCCTTAGTCTTCAGAGGTGACAAGGCATATGTAGCCTTCTATGTTTGAAGTTGGCTACAGGTGTCCATGGACTGCAGTAGCTACTTACCATCAAGTGGACTGCATCGTTTGTCACTTAGGATTTATAAAAAAAAATTAATATTTTGGTACATACTTTATGTGATTTCTTACCAATCTCGTTTAACAACACTTGGGCATAGTGGGCGTGGCAGGTCCCCTGGTAAATCAGTCCCACTCCCAACAACGCTGCGACTAGAATATTCTGCTGGATGTCCAACTCTATAGACGTCGGTGGGAGAAGTGGTTCCAGGTGAATGCTCATCATTTTCGTCGCTTGCACGTCCATGGTTCCTGCAAATAGTTTTTGACTATGTATTTTGTTCTACAGGCGGTATTTTTTTATCTTCTTTTTAACCAGTTATATTTAAGCTAAGAATACAAAAAATTATCTACGCTGCAACTCGACAGAGTACCCGGCTCTAACGTACGTTGCTTATTTCTTGAATCTTAAGTTCAGTCTTTATTGCATACAGGTAAGGGTGGCAACAAACACACATTCCACCCGATTGTTAAATGTAGTCTATACTTGAATGCCACTTTACCAGTAAAAAAAAAATGTTGACTTCAAAGTATGTAGTATAAAGAACAAAATATAGTGTATATATTAAGACTCACAGAATACCAGCGTAAAATAGGAGCTTAATGCTGCTGTGTTTCGTATGGTGAGTGTAGAGAACCGGAGACCCTTTTTACTGGAAAAGAGGCATTCCATCTTAGTCATCAAGGCTTACAACTCGATATTGATTCGCAAACGAAGATAAATGTAGATGTCTATGGGCCACAGCAACCACCTACCATCAAGTGGACTGTATTCTCGCTTGTCAACCTTAGCCTATAAAAAAGACATAGTGTATAGAATAATCAAAGGTACAAATTCTAAAGCTGTTACGCGAAAATTATTTTATCCTTTTTAGTTTTTATTAAACGTCATAGAGCCATGCTGCAGCTATATTATTGTGTTGGGACCACGCTCTCACAGTAGGCTTGGGCAAAAACTATCGATATATCGATATTTATTTTAGAGTATCGAATTCGTATGAATTTCGATATATTTTAAAACGTTGTATCGTTTTTTTCGTCGTCCAACCGTCAGTAAATAAAATTTTTGACCTTATCTTTACATCATGCAAATGTTGACGATATATCGATATTTATCACGCGATATATATCGATACTGTTTAAAAATATAGATTCGATATATATCGATATATTTTTTCCCCTTGCCCATCCCTATCTTACAGAATACCAACGTAAAATAGCACCCTAATGCTGCTTTGTTGCGTATGATGAGTGTTGACAACCGGAGGCCCTTTTTACTGGTAACTAGGCATTCCCAGTTCTCAGGCATGACGACGCATTTTCATTTTGATTCTTTATCGTTTATATCGTTAGCTTTACCTAGAATAAATGTAGGACTACAGAATCCACTTACCATCAAATCAAGTGGATTGGGTGGTCATTTATCACCCTCATTCTATAAAAAAAATATTTCAAACAAATCATACGAGAGCCTAGTTCACAATATTTACCTCTGTAAGTAGCCGCCAAGCCCAGCAACAGTCCCACGCTTATCATTTCGTTGCATTTCACGAGATACTCGTAGATATTCATAAACGGCATGTCCCGCAAATGCCCATTTAGCCCCAACGCCAGTAAAAAGCCCGCGTGTTCTGTTGACATGTCTTGTGTTCCCTGATAAAAATGTGAAACATGAAATTATTTTTTTTATATAAATTTATTGATTGCTTTGTTAGCATGTGCTTACATTATATTTGGGTGTCATGCACAAAGGTTTGTACTTAAAAGGAGTTTGAAAAAATTTATGATCGAAACTTTTGGGGTGAGTGTATGCCAGTGCAGCAGTGCGGTGTGCGTGTGTGTGTACGTGTGTGTGTACGTGTGCAGTCACCCGGGGCTTGTTGTAGACGACCCAGCTGTGGTGTATGGTGGCGCCGGCGACGGGCACGAGCGCGAGCCCGGCGGCGGCCCCGTTGTGGAAGGCGGGCCAGTGCAGCAGTGCAGCAGTGCGGTGTGCGTGTGTGTGTACGTGTGTGTGTACGTGTGCAGTCACCCGGGGCTTGTTGTAGACGACCCAGCTGTGGTGTATGGTGGCGCCGGCGACGGGCACGAGCGCGAGCCCGGCGGCGGCCCCGTTGTGGAAGGCGGGCCAGTGCAGCAGTGCGGTGTGCGTGTGTGTGTACGTGTGTGTGTACGTGTGCAGTCACCCGGGGCTTGTTGTAGACGACCCAGCTGTGGTGTATGGTGGCGCCGGCGACGGGCACGAGCGCGAGCCCGGCGGCGGCCCCGTTGTGGAAGGCGGGCCAGTGCAGCAGTGCAGCAGTGCGGTGTGCGTGTGTGTGTACGTGTGTGTGTACGTGTGCAGTCACCCGGGGCTTGTTGTAGACGACCCAGCTGTGGTGTATGGTGGCGCCGGCGACGGGCACGAGCGCGAGCCCGGCGGCGGCCCCGTTGTGGAAGGCGGGCCAGTGCAGCAGTGCGGTGTGCGTGTGTGTGTACGTGTGTGTGTACGTGTGCAGTCACCCGGGGCTTGTTGTAGACGACCCAGCTGTGGTGTATGGTGGCGCCGGCGACGGGCACGAGCGCGAGCCCGGCGGCGGCCCCGTTGTGGAAGGCGGGCCAGTGCAGCAGTGCAGCAGTGCGGTGTGCGTGTGTGTGTGTACGTGTGTGTGTACGTGTGCAGTCACCCGGGGCTTGTTGTAGACGACCCAGCTGTGGTGTATGGTGGCGCCGGCGACGGGCACGAGCGCGAGCCCGGCGGCGGCCCCGTTGTGGAAGGCGGGCCAGTGCAGCAGTGCAGCAGTGCGGTGTGCGTGTGTGTGTACGTGTGTGTGTACGTGTGCAGTCACCCGGGGCTTGTTGTAGACGACCCAGCTGTGGTGTATGGTGGCGCCGGCGACGGGCACGAGCGCGAGCCCGGCGGCGGCCCCGTTGTGGAAGGCGGGCCAGTGCAGCAGTGCAGCAGTGCGGTGTGCGTGTGTGTGTACGTGTGTGTGTACGTGTGCAGTCACCCGGGGCTTGTTGTAGACGACCCAGCTGTGGTGTATGGTGGCGCCGGCGACGGGCACGAGCGCGAGCCCGGCGGCGGCCCCGTTGTGGAAGGCGGGCCAGTGCAGCAGTGCAGCAGTGCGGTGTGCGTGTGTGTGTACGTGTGTGTGTACGTGTGCAGTCACCCGGGGCTTGTTGTAGACGACCCAGCTGTGGTGTATGGTGGCGCCGGCGACGGGCACGAGCGCGAGCCCGGCGGCGGCCCCGTTGTGGAAGGCGGGCCAGTGCAGCAGTGCGGTGTGCGTGTGTGTGTACGTGTGTGTGTACGTGTGCAGTCACCCGGGGCTTGTTGTAGACGACCCAGCTGTGGTGTATGGTGGCGCCGGCGACGGGCACGAGCGCGAGCCCGGCGGCGGCCCCGTTGTGGAAGGCGGGCCAGTGCAGCAGTGCGGTGTGCGTGTGTGTGTACGTGTGTGTGTACGTGTGCAGTCACCCGGGGCTTGTTGTAGACGACCCAGCTGTGGTGTATGGTGGCGCCGGCGACGGGCACGAGCGCGAGCCCGGCGGCGGCCCCGTTGTGGAAGGCGGGCCAGTGCAGCAGTGCGGTGTGCGTGTGTGTGTACGTGTGTGTGTACGTGTGCAGTCACCCGGGGCTTGTTGTAGACGACCCAGCTGTGGTGTATGGTGGCGCCGGCGACGGGCACGAGCGCGAGCCCGGCGGCGGCCCCGTTGTGGAAGGCGGGCCAGTGCAGCAGTGCGGTGTGCGTGTGTGTGTACGTGTGTGTGTGTACGTGTGCAGTCACCCGGGGCTTGTTGTAGACGACCCAGCTGTGGTGTATGGTGGCGCCGGCGACGGGCACGAGCGCGAGCCCGGCGGCGGCCCCGTTGTGGAAGGCGGGCCAGTGCAGCAGTGCGGTGTGCGTGTGTGTGTACGTGTGTGTGTACGTGTGCAGTCACCCGGGGCTTGTTGTAGACGACCCAGCTGTGGTGTATGGTGGCGCCGGCGACGGGCACGAGCGCGAGCCCGGCGGCGGCCCCGTTGTGGAAGGCGGGCCAGTGCAGCAGTGCGGTGTGCGTGTGTGTGTACGTGTGTGTGTACGTGTGCAGTCACCCGGGGCTTGTTGTAGACGACCCAGCTGTGGTGTATGGTGGCGCCGGCGACGGGCACGAGCGCGAGCCCGGCGGCGGCCCCGTTGTGGAAGGCGGGCCAGTGCAGCAGTGCAGCAGTGCGGTGTGCGTGTGTGTGTACGTGTGTGTGTACGTGTGCAGTCACCCGGGGCTTGTTGTAGACGACCCAGCTGTGGTGTATGGTGGCGCCGGCGACGGGCACGAGCGCGAGCCCGGCGGCGGCCCCGTTGTGGAAGGCGGGCCAGTGCAGCAGTGCGGTGTGCGTGTGTGTGTACGTGTGTGTGTACGTGTGCAGTCACCCGGGGCTTGTTGTAGACGACCCAGCTGTGGTGTATGGTGGCGCCGGCGACGGGCACGAGCGCGAGCCCGGCGGCGGCCCCGTTGTGGAAGGCGGGCCAGTGCAGCAGTGCAGCAGTGCGGTGTGCGTGTGTGTGTGTACGTGTGTGTGTACGTGTGCAGTCACCCGGGGCTTGTTGTAGACGACCCAGCTGTGGTGTATGGTGGCGCCGGCGACGGGCACGAGCGCGAGCCCGGCGGCGGCCCCGTTGTGGAAGGCGGGCCAGTGCAGCAGTGCGGTGTGCGTGTGTGTGTACGTGTGTGTGTGTACGTGTGCAGTCACCCGGGGCTTGTTGTAGACGACCCAGCTGTGGTGTATGGTGGCGCCGGCGACGGGCACGAGCGCGAGCCCGGCGGCGGCCCCGTTGTGGAAGGCGGGCCAGTGCAGCAGTGCGGTGTGCGTGTGTGTGTACGTGTGTGTGTACGTGTGCAGTCACCCGGGGCTTGTTGTAGACGACCCAGCTGTGGTGTATGGTGGCGCCGGCGACGGGCACGAGCGCGAGCCCGGCGGCGGCCCCGTTGTGGAAGGCGGGCCAGTGCAGCAGTGCAGCAGTGCGGTGTGCGTGTGTGTGTACGTGTGTGTGTACGTGTGCAGTCACCCGGGGCTTGTTGTAGACGACCCAGCTGTGGTGTATGGTGGCGCCGGCGACGGGCACGAGCGCGAGCCCGGCGGCGGCCCCGTTGTGGAAGGCGGGCCAGTGCAGCAGTGCGGTGTGCGTGTGTGTGTACGTGTGTGTGTACGTGTGCAGTCACCCGGGGCTTGTTGTAGACGACCCAGCTGTGGTGTATGGTGGCGCCGGCGACGGGCACGAGCGCGAGCCCGGCGGCGGCCCCGTTGTGGAAGGCGGGCCAGTGCAGCAGTGCGGTGTGCGTGTGTGTGTACGTGTGTGTGTACGTGTGCAGTCACCCGGGGCTTGTTGTAGACGACCCAGCTGTGGTGTATGGTGGCGCCGGCGACGGGCACGAGCGCGAGCCCGGCGGCGGCCCCGTTGTGGAAGGCGGGCCAGTGCAGCAGTGCAGCAGTGCGGTGTGCGTGTGTGTGTGTACGTGTGTGTGTACGTGTGCAGTCACCCGGGGCTTGTTGTAGACGACCCAGCTGTGGTGTATGGTGGCGCCGGCGACGGGCACGAGCGCGAGCCCGGCGGCGGCCCCGTTGTGGAAGGCGGGCCAGTGCAGCAGGTTGGGCGACGCGTCGGCCGGCAGCGACACGGCGGCGCGGCGCGGCGGCGGCCCGCGCCCCGACGCGCACAGCCGCGGCGCAGACAGCGGCTCCGTGGCCGCCGCGCCCACGCTTCTCAGCGTCACACATGCCCCTATCACACCACACCACACCGTTACCATTACAGCATTAAAGCCCAAATACTCTTTAAGTCTCGTGCTGTCTGTATCACTTAAAGTCAAAGTGAATGAGACACCATGAGACTTAAACAACATAATAAAATTGAGTAGCGTTTGAATATTCTGCCATAAAGCTAACATCATTATTTTTTTTATAATGAGGGCTAATAATTTTTCGTTCACCAGACCGCGAAGCCGACGATGGATCTATGGCCGCCGCGCCCACACTGCGCAACGTCACCATGCTCCTGACACACTGCACAGACTACTTAAGGCGAGGATTTCCCTTCTACGCTGCATGTATATTTGTCCAACACGAAATAAGCGTGCCACATTCAAAAGACAAAAAGTAACTTTATTCTAGAGATGAGTCGTTTTTTCGCAACCTGTTACAGCATCAGGTTGCGTCGAAAATAAAAATGTAACCTGTTGCGACAAATCGCGCAATAGGTTGTTTCAGTAACGTCCAAGAATTAAATGTTTTTTGCAGAAATATAGGTTGCGCACTGATATTATCGATAAAGCAGCCGGTTAGTTGTGAGGCAACTGTTAGGTAACAGTAACAGTGTGACCATATGTGGCAGGTTCCTGCCATTTTGGCAGGATTGGCCTCTTATTTTAGCCTCTGGCATGATCGGTTGACGTTTTATAAAATCTGGCAGTATTTGGCGGTATTGGAGTATTAAAAATAGATTTCACTATGGCAACTTAAAATGACGAAAATGGCAAACCTAGATACTTCGCCAGCATGTCTGGGATTTCCCTGTATTTCTCTATTTCACGTATTATTTTTGTATCACATTCAATAAACAACTTTAAAAAAATTGTGTATAAAGTTGATAATCTTAAAACGATTAACACGAGTTGGTAAATATTTCAATCAGTCATAAAAGAGACGTACTTTAGTTTGGTATCGTATTAGATTTCATGGTGAAAATATCTTGTTAATAATATTTCATGGACGATAGTAATTAAGCGAAAATATGAAAGGGCGTATAAAGCGAAGTGTGAGTAAGATCTTTTACTTTCATCATGGATCTCCAAAGATAAAGATGATCCAGACTGTGTAACTGCCATTTGGCTGTCCACTTTAAAGCAACATGCGAAAGAATATTCTCTCAAATAAATTTAATTAAGACAAAAACACGAAACAGATTTATAAACAAACATTTACTCTCTGTCTTGTACGTTAAACAAGGCATTGGTGAACATGGCGATTGCATTGCATTCAAACCTACATATTTATTTATCTATAATTCAAACCAACGAAAGATATGTTTAATTTTAATTAAAAAAAAAATATAGCACTTATATGTGTATTTTTAATTTTCTTAGTTTAATGCAATAGTAAATAAAGTTGGCAGTATTTAGGCATTTTTCACTACAGAATTTTGCAGGATTTGGCAGGTTTTT